TATATATATATATATATATATATATATATATATTTTATAACTATTCCACATTTTATTTATAATGAACGTTTTCAATATTTGCTCACTTTTACTTTTACGTCTCAATTTTTTTCTCGTCGGATTCTCATTCTTAACTCTCAATTAATTAACATATTTTATCTTTAATCACAATTTTCATTCAAATATTCTGCTGACGTGCATTGAAATGATAGACAAATATTTTTTTTTTTACTTTTATATAAGTTATTTATTTCGATTATTTAAAAATGTGACTATGAGAGAGATAAATATGTCTTTTTGACTTTCATATCAAATATTTTGGATGAAAATTATCTCTATTGATAAGATGTGAAAATTAATAGAAGGTTGATGATAATTGGTTTTTTTTTTTTTCCCTTGATGTTGAGAACATAAATATAAAAATAAAAGTTTAAGGATATGCATAATAATAAAAATGTAACAAAATATATTTACCATTTACCCTTTAAACAATCACGTCCGGTAAAAGAACCGCCGCTGTTTAAACGACCCTCTATGTAAACCTCGTCAAATCTGTTCTTTATTATTATGATTTTCACAGTATGCATTTTTTTCCCCCAAAATTCAGAAAATACGGGTCCTTATTTATTTTATAATCCATTTTATATTTCATCAGTTGTATTAAAATTAATTATGTTATATAGAAGTATTGTATTCTGCTTTTTTTTTTTTAAGTGTTATTTTTGGTTTTGGGAGCTGTAATTGGATATAATTTCTGGTGTTTTTCGAATTATTCTTTTAGTTATAGAATTTGGGAAGTTTGTAGAAATTTTGAATCTATTTCTGTTTCTACTTTAGCTAAGCATTTGCATTTTTGCAAAATTGAAGGAGATCTTGAAGGTTCCATGGAAAAATTTGCCAGCGTATTTTTTGAGTTCTATTAAGCTTTTGTACGGAGGTAATACGTGAAACCTGCAGGTGTTCGCAAAATTAGGAACAAAATCTGATATAAACAGACATTTTTTTTGCATGTTATTCATGTAAAATTGCTTGACACCTTCAATTTTTTATTATATCAAAAAATGAGATTCCATTGATTTCTGTTCCTGAATCCGCAAAACCCAATGTCAATACGGAAATCAATTTATTTTTATTTTTTAACAAATTTCTTCAAATAACGATGTTGTTAGTACTAAGTATCAGAAATTGATAAAAAAATTAGTAGTTTTGATTTTGATGTTTTGTAGGTAGTGTGAGTTTTTCATGTGGGGATGGGCCACGATCTCTACTTCCACGTGGTATCCACGTCCCTGTTTCCATATCCCCATATTTTTATGCGTTCCCCAGTTTTTGTTGGGAAATTAAGAGTTGCATTTATATAAATGAAGTGTAGTCGATTTTAGGAAATATTTTAATTCTAATTAGTTACAATTACTTGATCGTTTTTTTTTTTTTGGTTGGG